TGACCCACATGGTGGGTCATGCAATGACTGTGGTTTTAGAAGTTCTGTTATGCTTTACTAGTTGGCAAACCCGGCTCCGCCCGGCCCTGTCAATAACATATTTGTAATCAGCATGCTCGATTACCCCCCCCCCCCCTGTGCCAACTCCCAGCCCCGTAGCTCAAATTTTGCAAAAAAACGATAAAATCGATATCGATCGATGACGAAAAGTAGCCTATGACACCCGCCGGGGCCCGAAGTGTATGTGTGCCAAGTTTGTCCGGATCGGTTCAGAAATGGAATTTTCTATTCGGAACATACGTACACACAGACATACATACAGACAGACAGACAGACAAACAGACATTCAGCTTTATATATAAGATTCCTAGGAATTACTTCCGCGTTTCTTAGCTGCTTCTCAGAATCACTGTAGGGATACTGCAGATGACGGCTCGCTTGATTCCAGCTAAAAATATTCAACTTACTGTAGAAGGCACTGTCCCACAAGGCAGACAGCTAAAAATGCACGCTGTCGTCAACGTGATAATATGCCCTCCCTATCAAGAAAACTCTCTCCAGACTCGTGCGCCCAAGACAATTTTGTGCGCGCTCACACGAGCTCAGGGATCGTTCAGACCGCGTAGGTATCCGTCCAAACCCGCTCGAATACGTCCGAATCCGCATGAACGCCGGAAATGCCAAAGCGGCAGATATGTGTCAAGATACTCAGACATTCGTGGTTAAGTCACGCAGGAGATCCGCCCACTAAATGAGAATTAGCGAGAAAACCGGTAGTCTTGCGCGACGCTCGAATTTGTCACAACTTCCGGGATTATCCCGACAGTGAAAAATGAAGCGGGAGATTATCGGGAGACGCGATTTCGGGGTACGCGGGTCGGCCGCTCTCAGTGTGTGAGCGTAAAGGATACTTGCGTGAAATACGACGCATGGTCAGAATACCCTCAATGTCTACAACGTTTGATGTGTTTCCAATCTCTCAGGCAAGAATAGGGTCAACATGTTGTCTAACAGACACCCTTCGAGCGACATCATCGGGTCTCCCGCAAGAGCTCCCGGTTCTCTCAGTAGAAAACATTTCGGGACAACCGCGTGTGTCGCGCAGCATTATCCCGAATGAAATACAGGAGTCCCGGTTTTCTCGCGAATCAATTTATTTGTGTCCCGCAGTCATTCCGTCGGGACACAACTTTTTCAACGGCGGGACTTAGCCGTGAATGTCTGAGTACGTGTGACTAAGGTATATGCACCACGCGCGTTGTACTCCACGCGTGCTCCAATATGGCAATTTGCACGCATATCTGCTGCTCTTTGGCAGTTCCGGCGTTCAGACGGGTTTGGGAGGATTCGGACGTATTGGGAGGGTTTGGACGGGTACCGGCGCACTCTGAACGATCCCTCAAGATTTTCCCGTACACGTTGGAGGCGCATGCCGCAATGTGCCGCGTTGGCGGGAGACCCAAAATCGTTGCGCCACCTATAGGGAATACCGATCAATACCGTTATACCGTCAATACGTCTCAGCTCTATAGGGATCAGCACATCCAGTAGCCCAAGGTATGCAAGAATTTCTAAGGTCGAGAATTTGGCGAGCCACTGCCTCTCATTCTAAATTTGAACGGGTAAAACAAACCCCATCATCAAGGTAAGGAAGCAGAGTCGTATTCTTATCTTCGTGACTGTGTGCGACATACGCGTCCTATGCAGTATGGAATTAGTGGATGGGCGGATTCCGGAACGGAGGCGGGTTCGAGACACCTTCGGGTCGGATTTTGAAGGCAGCGTCCGGGCAAAATTTCAAACGAAATTTTTTTTCGCTTACCTGGGCTTATCCTTCCCGCTGAATCCGAAAACGCAGTTTGCAGAGTGCGAAAACGTTGAAAACGGGCTATTCCGGAAGTCCCTATTTTGAATCCGGACGCTTGCCGCCGAGGTTGAGACGCAGAGTCGTGCTAGGACCCTACGCCTTGACTGTGTGTAACTCAGACAATTCTGCGCGCAAGCGGCGCGCACTTACGGCTAGCAGCGCAGGCGGCGCGCCATGATTTGTGGGCGTGGCCTTGCAGCGGACAGGCGGCGCGCACTGATTTCAGCTAACAGGCGGCGCGCAATGCATGTTCGCAGGCGGAGCGCAAACATAGCGTGCATGCAGGCGGCGCGCAATGGACTTTCTGTAGCATCACGTAAGCGAGGAGGGACGCTTGTTTTCGCGCGCAAATGCAGAACCTTTTGCAGAATCGTTTCTCCTTGTTTCTCTTTGTTTTTTTTTCATATAAAGTATTGTGTGTTTATCACCTCACTTTTACTCTGCTATTTCATCTCTTTTTCTATTTCTAGATTGTTTTGAGATCAAGTAAGCAAATTTTTGCCTTTTTGTAGCACGTCCTCTTATATTTCATCCAAAATCACTCTTGTTTCTCATATCAGTCTTCCATATCTTTTACCCTACCTCCGGTCCTTAATCATATTGACCTCGTAACACAGGGACGCTCACTTTCAATCAATAGCGCTTTCTTGCGTCGTTGCGTTTCCTACGTTTCTTTCCGTTGCCATTTCTTTTTCTTCTTTTTTCTCAAGACAAAAGCTATGTTGACTTCAGGCCACAACTTCTTCAGTACAGTGATGGTTATATGTGAATCTCGAACGAAATTCCGCGCAAAAGAGTAAGTCTGGCTTTTTGAAGCCAAAGTATATATACACTTATAGGTGTTTTTTCTGAAAACATATTATTGTGTTTCAGCCACCAATCTACAATGACCCAAATACCAAGAATCAAGATAGTTTATGGTCGCGGGGACCGCAGCCCTGACTATTTATATTGAGGAGGTGAGAAGTTGCATTTTTTTGCAGATTCGTCAAAATTCTTGTTGCTTTTTCTCTTTAGTTTGTTAATACCATGTATTTCAGCGTCACGGCAAACGTCTAGCACCGACTGATGGAATCAATCCTTGATAGAAGAAAGGCCATTACGAGGACTAACGAGGAAGAGGGTGATCCAGATTATTCATGTCTCATCTCATCATGCATCCCAAATCTCATCCCTTTATCCATCATGTCCCCGTCATCTAATTGTTTGATTCCTATGGTTGAATTGGATTCATGAAATTTATGAGCATCTAATTCTGGCTGATCCAGCATGCCCAGGTTTTATTCATTGCTATCGCATTTCCATATTCTACTCCTCTAAGAATGTACATATATCATGTACTTTTCATACACACGTCTTGTTGATATCGCATTTGAAAGAGTATGCGAGTTCTGTACGTATTAAGCTAGTGACAGTGAACAATATCAGCTACTGAAGACGAATTTATTTTGTAAGCAATATATCTGATCGAATTGCTGATTCAAAACACCTTTCAAATTTGGAAATTGTAAATATTATTCGTTAATAAATTAGTTGTGAAACCACACTGTCCAACAAGCGTAAGATATTCAGACCGACAACAAAAATCCGAGCAGATTCCTGCCAAAATTTTTCTCGTAGCGCGCAGGCGGCGGGCCTTCAATCCATAGGCGGCGCGCACTGCACACACAGGCGGCGGGAAGGTACATCGCTCGCTGATTCAGTGCGCGCCGCCTGCGCGCAGAATTGTCTGAGAAGGGACCCGTCATACTTCGCCGAAGAAAGCCCAAAAGCGCCCAAAAAAGCCCGAAAAAGCCCGAAAAAGCCCAAAAAAAGCCCGAAAGCGCCAGAAAGATCCGGAATGTAGAAACGAACTTTTGGTAGAATTCTGACATTATCTTATCATGCGGACGACAGAGAATGACAAAAATGCTCGATTGCGAAGTCAGCACACATGCTTTAGCGCCAGAACGTGCGAGAAGTGTTCCGGCTCTTTCTGGCGCTTTGGGCTTTTTTGGGCTTTTTCGGGCTTTTTTGGGCTATTTTGGGCTTTTTCGGGCTTTTTTGGGCTTTTTCGGGCTTCTTTGGGCTTTTTTCGGCGAAGTATGACGGGTCCCTAATATAGGCACTTGATTGAGGGGCGAGCAGGTCGCTGGGGCGTCTAAGTCGCCACTTCTGAAGCGGATTTCTCGCTTCAGAACCTTATTGAAGCAATGCTGCTTGGGCAAGAGCTTCTTCAGGATGGGAGCTGCAGGTAAGTATGTTTTTCTTGTAATGTCAAACCTGCCCGGACGCTGCCTTTAAGCTTTGTGAACGCGTTTTTTTCGCTCAGCATTCACTGACGTATTGAAGGCCCGATGTTGCAAGGCTATGTATTAATGTTCCGAGCGACAATACGCGCAAAATGCAAGTAATGTATATAAGCACCCTTTCGCTACTTCTACGAAATTCTACTAATGTAATCGAATTATGCAGCTGCCCTCATCACCCTTTCTCCCCCCCCCCCCCCTCCCATGTTTGCCGGTTACTTCAGCACCGCAGAGTTTGAGAGTCACAAAAGTTGGGGTTGTCGCCTTCCGCACCACACCCTAAAATACCATTCCCCTCCTCTGCAGGACGCTCCTCAAGCAGGAACTACCTGGCTATGGGAGACCTTCGTTTTTGTCGCTTCTTTCCTCTTCTTTCTGCGAGAAACCAGATTAACGAGAACAGTTCGAAGGATCTACAACAAAAGACACATCCTGGCAGAAAAAGTCGGCGAAAGGAAGATAGCTCATGCGACAGCCATTTAGACATCAACAAACAAACAGATTGCACACAGGCTCAGCACATGTTCGCGTGGAGCGAGGCTGTGTCGAAATTTCCGTGTTCAAACGTGTTTGATTGAACTTCGATAGTCTCCGTAATTCAGTGTTTTCTTACTCTTCGGAATATCCTCTCATCCACAGAGTGAAAGGATTTCAAGATTTCGCAAAAAAAAGCAGTTCAAGCATGAGTGCACAGCTTGCTAATAGCAGCCTTCATTCGCTCTGCTCAGCCGCGGATCGATATCTCTCGCAAAGAGCGTATTTCCCCTTTCAGCGCAGACAATTTTCACTTCTCCCAGTTGAACTCTTTTTTTTCATAAACAAGGTGCATTTTTTCAAATTGAGCTGCTGACTTGTGCTTTGATGCGTACATTTGCAGATGATCGGATGGCTCCTACTGATGATTTTTCCTCCTGTAACACTTACATTTTTACTAATCGTTGTCGTGGCGTCTTTTGGTGGAACCATAGGAGTCAGAGAAATGTTTGTGGAAATGTTACTGCAGCTGTTCGAGGTTCGTCCTTCATTTTCTTCTTTCCTATAAGCAATCTTACCTTTTTTTACATGTAAATCGCAGAGCGTCATCTTCCCCGTTTTGACGATGAAGACTCCAAAGTCCCTATGGTTTTTGCAAACATGGTTTTACTATCAAGTCTCAGTTCCCATTATTACGAGAATTTGTCTTAGACTCAGTAAGAGATAGGTTATTTGTAAGCACTCCAAGCAGAGTAAAATGGAGTCTTCTGTGCTTGTATTTGCTTCTGCAATAGGTCTTCTTTTGAACGAAAAAGAAACCTTGAACTTTTTGCATTTTTGATTTCCTACATGCTGAATACAAAGCATATCAAGTCCATTTCAGTATTGCTTGTTAGTTCTCCAAAAGTCTTTTGAGTTCAGCACTCAAAGTTTTTCTTTCTTAGCGCAGCGATACGTTTTGATAACACAAAGTACTGCTCGCGCTACTCAAGATTTTTGTACGCAAAGAATTGTTCAAGCAGATTGCTGATTGTCATAACACTTTGGCTTCGGTTGCGAGTGATTCCTCTGTTTATCAAAGACGTTTGTTAACATTGATACCGTCCATGGTTTCGGCACAAACGTTTCTTTGCCATTTTCATAAACATAAAAGTTGTCTTCCAACGAATTTTCTCTTAAGCTTGCTGGCTATCGTCTCTAAAAGACGGAAAATATGAAGTAAAAAAAGAAACGAATGAAAACGGTGCAAATGAAGTATGTGGTGGACATGAGGTTTGCAAGCATTCGTGCTGAGGTTGTGCCAGCACATGGGTGTCTGTGGACGCATAAAAAGCCGAAAGCGTTTTCTGTGAGGTTATCGCTATCGACTTCGGGTCTTTGCGGACATGGCTCCTTAGATGATTCAATAGTAGTGCTATATAGTGCTTGAATTGCGATTTAAAGTGCTGACTTTCCTTGTGGTCGTTATGTAGCATATCATCATTTTGCGCATACTTCAGCAAGCCGCATCAGATGAGAGGGTGATGCATAGGGAACGGCCATAGGTTGCCGGCAACGGTTGTCGGTGTTGTCGATGTTGTCGCTGTTGTCGAGGTTGCCGGCAGGGTCCAGCGTGGGTGTGTGGCACGCCGCACATGATATAATAATTTTTTCATTACAGTTCTCACCATCCATCTCCTACAGGCACGTCAAAAATATTGGCGGCAGTACGCTGAATCTGACCTCACGCATTGCAAAAAAAGCGGCAAAGTTCAGTTTCTGAATCAGATTGATCAATCAATCAATCTGAAGCAGATTTTGCGTACTACCGTAACCAATATTTTTGACGTGCATGTACGAGATGGATGGTGAACATTGTAATGGAAAAATTGTTATATCTTGTGTGGCGTGCCACACCCCACGCCTGACCCTGCCGGCAACGACAACCCCGACAACATCGACAACTGTTGCCGGCAACTATGGCCTCCCATAGTTGCCTCTAATAAGGGGTCGAGATGATCACAGCATTTTAGTGCCTATCATTTCTTCCACTACTGCTATCGTCTGTCTTTCAGAAGTGTTCCCATAGGTACCACGTCATCGCTGCCTTTCGCTCTTGTAAACATTTTAACACCAGCAAAAGGCGATTTATCTTGAAGTGACCGTGCTGAGCGCGGGAGCGTTTTATGTTACAGACTCCAGTAATACCAGGCGAATCCGTCGTCGATTTCAATGATTGCACGAACCCTTCCTTCAGAGTGCCGTCATACTCATCTGGTGACGCGTTTGTTTCGGTTTCCATTCGCGCATGAATGCAGGCTCACATGTTAGCACTACACCACCAAGGTCTGCCGGATTCTACTTGCACGCGGCCTCCATGCGAACAACTGTTAGGGTGCGAAAGTTGTTGCGTAATTCAAACGAAATCCAATAATTTAAAGTTTGGCATTTTGAAGGCAGCGTCCAGGCAAACTTGGACCTGTGGGGATTTGCGGAACCAGTAATTAGAAATAGTGCCTATTTAAAACACTGTGACTTTTTTACGGAACGTCAACAAGTGTTTCCGCGCAAAATTTGCAGTAATGAAAAGGTTTTTTTTCCTGGAAAATGGCATTTTCAACAAATTGTGTTTCGCGTTACGCAAAATCACAAAATTTACAACACCATTTTTGATAGCTTCGTTTGGTGGCGTAACTTTTAGAATGTTACGAACATCGTTATGGAGCGCAAAGATTCTACTATTTACAGGATGCAAAAGTCTGGATCAGGTTTAATATCTGGAAAGTTATTGATTTTCGTATCACGCAAGAATTTTCGCACCAATCTAATAGAATATACCTTTCTTCTGTCAAACGCTTGTCAATCATCAAATGTTGTTAGCTTCCAGTCAAAAATTTTCTTGAAAAGTGCGGGGGTGATCTGCTTGTTCAAGTGGTTTAGGTCCTTGTGGCATACTGCGTGAGCATATTCCGCATTCGTATCGGCTGCGGACGATGCTCACGAGTATGCCACAAGGTTCACGATTTGGCAAAGCTCTGTACTACGATAGTTGCATCCTGCCATCAATGCGAGTACACCGCACAGGATGATATGCGGCAGTTTTTTATTCATGCTTTGTTTGCACGTCACAGTGAATCCGCCGTTTCCTTCGCACAGTTTTCGGTACTCCATTTTGTTTTCGCTTGGTGGTCCTAGTCGTTATTCGCGATGGGGACCAAGCAAAAAACGAAGACACCTGTTGAAATACAATAGGAGAGGGGAAATGAACAAAAATTGATGCACGGGCAAGGGGTTAAGTTAGCTGGTTCTGATCTATATCTGACTTATATCTCAAATACTTATTGCATGGTAATTTACTACTTGATTACACCATTTTATGTATTTATAAACACCTTTTTGCTTTCAGTGGGGTTCCAAAGTGACTAATGACCGCAACTTCGAAGAACTTCCACAGGATCCATCTAACTCACTTTTTCCACCACCGCGAGTCAAAAAGCGGCACTCTTCCGGAGATCTCGGTACGTATCCCTCTCTGGTTTATTGCATACTTTCATGATTTCCCAGGTATAATTCATCGCGAGAAGTCTGATATAATTGATACCAAACTCCATTCGACAGATGAGCCTCCACAAAGGCAAACCACTGTCAGCGTAGTTGTTGATGACAGCATCGACTTCATAACGGTTGGTGGCTGGTAATCCTGCTTCAGGAAGTCAGGGGAAATTTCCAGGCTGGGATTGAAGCCATAATTGAGGATCAGGTAACTAGCCGGTTCCGCGCGGAGCAGATTCCGTCATGGAACCTCCTCACGAGAACAAGGTTCTCTTTTCAATACATAAGGTAATCCTTTAATGTGAGACCATGCAGTTGTTTAGAATTTCTGTTTCGTGTGCACTTTAGTTGGAAACTCTCGGTTTTATGGATAGGCGGCTTTCTTTTTCGATATTGCATTCTCGTTCCAATTCGTGTTTTCCTATTTATTTTGGGAATGTCCACCATGTGTGGTGTATGCTACTTAGTGGGCCATATCCCCAACCTTAAGTGAGTTACATGATTAAGCTTCGAGAGGATTTTAGTCAGTGTCTTATTGACAGAATCAAGAAGTTTCTCAACCGTCATGTGATGCTCATGTCTATGCGGATATTCTCTCGTTCATTTTCGAGCATTATCCGATTCCATGACAGGCATGTTCGCGCAGATTGTTCCTATCCTTGATGGACGAATTTTATTTTTTAAGGGAAAATCGAGCCAAAAAAGGAGGTATATGTGTCGCTAATCATACTTCACCAATCGACGTCATGGTACTGAGTTGTGATAATTGCTATGCTATGATTGGTCAAAAACAAGGAGGCTTTCTTGGTACGTTTGTTTATCTCTAACATGAAAGATCTCTAACCTCTATGATTTTGAGGCTTCATACAAGATTCGCTGAGTCGTGCTGAGCACCATATCTGGTTTGAAAGGAGCGAAGCTGCTGATAGGAAGAAAGTAACTCAAAGGTTGTTTGGTTATACTATCATGCTATTCTCTGTTCTCGTCTGTTAGGAGACTGAATGTTATGTTGTCATTTGCATATTCAGGCTAAGAGAACATGTGGAAGATGAAAACAAACTGCCAATTATTATATTCCCTGAAGGAACTTGCATTAACAATACTTCTGTGATGATGTTCAAAAAGGGATCTTTTGAGGTGAGCATGCATGCGTACTTGTTAGCAAAATTTTGAACTTTCGAAATATGCCTATTTGCTATCAATAAGTTCACAGATTGGTAGCACAATCTATCCGATAGCTATGAAGTACGATAGTCGACTGACTGATGCTTTCTGGAATAGCAGTGAGCAGTCTTACGGAGAGTATCTGTGGAGAATGATGACATCATGGGCAATAATCTGCGACGTGTGGTATCTACCACCTATGACTAGAGAGGTTGGTGCAACCACGCTTCTTCATGCTAGAAAACCCTACTCCTAAACACTTGTACTTCAGCCAGGTGAGGATGCGATAGCATTTGCGCGAAGGGTTAAGAAAGCCATTGCAAAAAAAGGTGGCCTTGTGGATTTGGAATGGGACGGAGCGTTAAAAAGAGAGCGAGTATGTTGCACTTTGCAACCTTGACTTTTCTTTTCAGCAATACATATGTGATGTTCAGGTATCTTCAAAACTAATACAACTGCAGCAAAAGCTTTATTTTGATCGATTAGCTCGCACAACAACTATTAATAATATCATCGATGAAGAAGTGCGGACAGATGTTCTTGACATTATGCAAGTACGTTTTCCTCGTTTTTTTTCCTTTTTCAATTCCTCATGAGCCCTGCTCCCCTGCTCAAGATCATCTCTTGATCTCATTTCCAAAAGATCCCCAATTTTTAAAGCTGATACTCACGTGATATCATTCCAGCCGTATCCTCCAAGAATTGTGATATCGCATTAGCCGCGTGAGAGTATTCTACTTTCATTATCACTGGCTCATACTTTCAAATGCTATATTCCGAATCAGCCGGACAATAAGGTTAACACAAGATGAAATGTTTTTTGTACACAGTTCGTGATTGTAACGTGGTGTGGTGGTTTCGACGTATTGAGCTTATTATTGAAATTCTGGTGCATCGATGCAAAGGGGCGCTGCGAACTCTCAATTCGGCTTAGCGAGCGATATCAGTAGCGCCATTTTATGATGTTCGACCCATAGCTGCTTGAATATCAGCCTAAAAATGTCTTCCATATCTCCAGAAGCTGCTAAATTGGATATGAGTTTTGCTGTATGCATCAGTACTCCACCTAATAGAAGAAAAGCAGGGACAGAAATCCTTGTAAGATACATGGGTTTGATTAACATCAAAGGCAGTATTTATCAGTCTCATTTACATCATACCTGTTCGGGAACCTACTGTGGGAAACAGCACGCCAGCAGCGCGAGCGGGCGCATATCAAAAACGCCTTCTCCACTTTGCATATTGCAAACACATGAAAACCCGTCGTTTTTTATTTTTTTTTCTTTACTTTCTGTCCTCGGGCACAGTTTTTGCATTTATATGCGCATTTAGTGATCACGTCAACAATTGTAAAGTAAGATAGAGGGATCAAGATATTTTTCCTAGAGAGTGCTGGAAACGGCCATTTCGTTTCAATATCAGTAACTCATTAAATATTCTGTGTTGTAGGACAGTTCGTAGCAGTATAATAAGTTAGAGTCTTATTTTTTGTTTAATGGGAATAGTACATATTGATTGGAGTAAAATGGAAGGCTGGATTGAACCACACTAATTATCAGAAATTCCTATCACATTCATACTGTCTGGACCTCACCTAGGCCACTGTGTGGGTTCAAGGGTCCGCAAGTTTGGCCATGTCAGGCACGGCAGGCCCATTCTCGACAGATCAGGCTCTTTTGCCCGTTCAGGCCATGCTAACCAACCTCACAGAAATCACGATTTGGACGTTCTCGCCTGTCCTGGCCGCGTATAACGATGGAAGCGCCCGAACAGCGAGCGGGAGATTGATAAATACAGCCCCACATTGCTTGCAACATTTTCTACCCGCATGTGCCATTCGGATATTCTGGCAATAAGGACTCATATAGAGCAAAAAAAATCGAAACAGCATATATTTTCTTCCAAAAATAATGTGCCGATATGGAGTAAAGTCGCATCCTAGTTTCATCTAGCATTACGCATATCGCTTGTCGTTTTGTCCAGTGCCTTTGATAGAAGAGGCACGCGGTCTCCATGTCGTTACAAGGAGCTACTGATATATGCATGCAAAAAAAGCGCAGAGTGGAGACGAAAGCAAAGGAAATGCGACTGCCGAAACTGCGAATGCACACAAATGCGGCCATTGTCATGATTTCGTGCCCCATAAGTAATAATGTGAAGAGCAATGATAATTCGTCTGCTACAACTGAACGCTTTATTTATAACAATGTTCTGCTGAATTATGAATAGTAGAGCTAATCCGATGTTTTAGTCTATTAGCGAAGAGGATCGGAATGCTTTGATGAAAGACCTAGATGAAGCTGACGACGACGATTCCATTATTCGGAAGGTATGTGTGCCGTGAGCACATATTATGCTTACTGAATTTTTACCGTTGTACACTGCTTTTTGTCTTTGCGCAATGACTTGTTTTGCATTAGAGTGGAAAATTTTCACCATTTACTTTTGCTGATCGATATGCGCCAGCATCAATTTTTGCTTGCGTGCTCACTGTTTCTGTGTGATACAGCAATCTTTCAGGTGAGTGCTTACCGTCCGGATCTTCGAACCATCTCGGATACTGTAGGCGCTACGGTAGAAGCTGATACAAAGAGTGTGTAAAGGAGGAAGTACCAAATTTTTGTGCCTTGTGTGTTGGAGTGATAATTGTAACGTTCCCAGTTTCGTTACATGCTGATGCACAGATGTGATGCATCGCAACGGGTTGTCACGTTGCTTCGCCACTTCACGAAATTCAATAGATTCCGGTTGAATATACTTGCTCATCCCCAAACGTGTTTTTGTATATCTCTGATATAAAGAAGTTTGGACTTTCATACAATCTCGTCTTTTCAGGTAGTAACCACTCTCTGTTGGTTATTGTTTCAAAATGATTGTGAATGCTATTCTTGTTCTCTTACTTGGAGGCCTCATGATAACTGATTGCTATTCAGGCTGCGTTCAAACTTTTGTATCTACATCAACCAAAAAAACCTCATCGTTTTGTTCGCTATGATTTTGCTTGCGCTGTTTTCGAAATGTCGGAATGTATCTAATTTTGAATACGGTTGCGATTGAAGGAAATCGTTAATTAACGCGAACTGCAGAAAGAAAAAAAGCGGCCACAAGCGTTGGCGATATATTGACGTTCTCAATTTAGTTGAGTCAAAAAGTTTGGACGCATCTCCATTATCGTATTGCCCAGCAGATGTTTTACCAATGTCATTTTTTGTGCATTTTTTGCGCTGTTATTATAGGAAAGCAGTTCAAAAATATAAATAAATTGAATTATGAATATTGGCTGACACAGATTGGGCATATGCTGCACATGCTAGACGTGGTGGCTTGATCAGGGTTCGATATACCGTTACACATAGACAACTATCGAAAATTATTGAGTCAGTGTACGTGTACACGGCTTATCAAACGCAGTGTTGGGTGCACCAGCTTTTCTGCTCCCGCGTCCGCGTCGCCTGGACTCCGTACCTCTTTCGCGAACATGCTCTCTGATCACGTTCCCACCGCGAGCGTGGAAGGCAGAGCCGTAATCGATTGGGAATGATTAGAGGGCATATCCGCGGAAGAGGTGTAGAGTCCCGTGCGGGAGGATCAGGCCCCGGCATGAGTTCGTTTCTAGGCTTCTTGAAAATAAATCGCCTTGACTTCTCGAAATTTTGCGACCCCTTTGACTCACAGCCCTGAACGTTAAAAAACCCTCATACTAAGTTAAACGTCAATTTTTGGCCACAAAGACGATATCCCCCTTCGCTTTTTCGAAGTCCAACCGAAGTCCAGCCTGCTTTCATACGATCTGTGCGGGCCCGTGGAGATGCTCATGCACCCAAGACTGCATTTGCTAAGTCCTGTACTTATCGCGCAGTGTGCAGTGAATGAGGGGGGAGCAGTAATCCAGACAATGTAGCCTTCAAAAAAAATTTTTTTGAAGGCTTTCCAAAATTTATGGGGGTTTACACGTCGAAATCTTGAGGTAAGGGGCGTGCCCATCGCCAGAGAATTCTTTTTACAAAGTAATCTTAACTTTGGTAAAGACCGATTAATTATTCTCATTCTGTTATTGAGAGGGGGCAAAGAAACCTCAGTCACGCGCCACTAAAACTCCAAAAAGGCGGATAAAACGATCTGGCTAACACAAATTTGAAGTGGAGGCTAGGGTAAAACTTCTCTGCTGTGAATATCGCGACTGCTCTTGACTGGGAGACGGTCAAGAGGCGCGATTTCTCTGGCTGTCACCAATTCAAAACTCAAGTTTAGGGCTACGCAAGTCTTCAAAAAGCACAGACAAAATACATTGGCTTACTAGTCATCTAGATTTACCACTTGCTGAGTTTGAAGGCTTTCGCTGAAAATCCGACCAAAATAAATACAAATTTGTTATTAATTGCATTTTTATGAGTTTTTGACCTTCAACATTTTCATTTTGAAACGCTTTTGAGATAGTAAGAATGGACAACTCGTGCAACCATCTGATATATCTCCCCTAAACTCTAAAATACTCCCAGAACCTCATAAAACACTAAATATATGCTATTTGCTGTCCAGCTGGTAATAAAAATCGCGCCTCTTGACATACACCCCTCTTGACTTATCATCAGGTTGGAACATAAGTCATGCATCACAAATTAGGGAAAACTCATTCGCAGTGCCTGGGAAGTCATTTCAATCTGTACGATAGTTTTCCTTGTACACGATATATGCGGTAGTTTGTTGTCTACAATACCGCTCACAGAATGTGCAAAATTTCCGCAAATGTCGCAGAATTCCGAGAATTCCGCGAAGGTTCGCGAAATTCCGGGAATTTTGCGACATTCCCGGAATTTCGCGACATTCCCGGAATTTCGCGACATTCTCGAAATTTCGCGAAATTCATGTAAATCACGCAAATTACGCAGGGCCATAACTTCGTTCCGAATGAGTATATTCAAAATCCGAAAACAGCATTGTATTCAGCTCGTTAAGGCGAATCTTTTGGTATACAGGTTGTCTCCAATATCCTCTTTTCAATAATCTTGAATCTGCATGCGGACGCCTTTTCGCGTGGGTGTAACGCAACAAGCATCACACATAGGAGATTGCGGCGGGAACCCTTCGATAGTACTCTTTCAGTAGATTATTCTGCGCTAAACAGCAGCCGAAGACTCTCTTTTAAAAGAGATAGAAGAGCTGATAAACTCTGGAAGAAGCAAGCTGTTCCAAGTTCTACTAGCCGTAACTTCCTTCAGAATGAACATCTTCGAAATCCGAAAACAGTATTGTGTTCAGCTCGTTAAGGCGAATCTTTGGTATACAGCATGTCCTTGAAATTCCATTTCCAATTTTTTCAAAATTTTCTGCGCGCGTATATTCGCAAGGTCGCAACGCAGCGCACATCAAACATAAAAGACTCCAATAAGCACTATTGGATTGTGCTGCTCCCGCAGATTACCGAGCGCTAAAAATGAACTGGAGAATCTTTTTCGAAAACGATAGAAGAGCTGGTGAATTCTGGAAAAATTGTGTTGTGTCAAATTTTGCCCACTGTAACCCTAAAATGGGAAGCTCTCCTGCTAAGCAGATGTGCTTTTCGTAATCAGCAGGTCAGATAACCTCTATAAGCAAGTTTTCAAAGAAATTCGGGTGATTTGATTTTTTTTCTCGTTCTACGCCCTGAAGCTCCCCGGTGGGTTTTGGTCAAAATGTCGATGATCTTGGATTATAAGGAAACTTCGCTCAAAGAGGTTATCTGACCTGCTGATTACGAAAAGCACATCTGCTTAGCAGGAGAGCTTCCCATTTTAGGGTTACAGTGGGCAAAATTTGACACAACACCAATTTTTCCAGAATTCACCAGCTCTTCTATCTTTTCCGAAAAAGATTCTCCAGTTCGTTTTTAGCGCTCGGTAATCTACGGGAGCAGCACAATCCAATAGTGCTTATTGGAGTCTTTTATGTTTGATGTGCGCTGCGTTGCGACCTTGCGAATATACGCGCGCAGAAAATTTTGAAAAAATTGGAAATGGAATTTCAAGGACATGCTGTATATCAAAGATTCGCCTTAACGAGCTGAATACAATGCTGTTTTCGGATTTTGAATATACTCATTCGGAACGAAGTTATGGCCCTGCGTAATTTGCGTGATTTACATGAATTTCGCGAAATTTCGGGAATGTCGCGAAATCCCGGGAATGTCGCAAAATTTCCGGAATTTCGCGAACCTTCGCGGAATTCTCGGAATTCTGCGACATTTACGGAAATTTTGCACATTCTGTGAGCGGTATTGTACATTAGAGTTTATTTTCCCTACATTAGCTGTAAAAATGGAAAATTATTTGTGTAGGGGAGTTCGATTAGCATGAACTCAACTTAGTTGAAAAGACGATAATGAAACCCAAACCAACAACATGGAGATTGTCGTATTTTTCAGCAATTCTAGCGACTAATTCGGAACAACGCAATTTGAGTGGTTTTTCTTATCAGCTCTTGTTACCGCGAAAGGCAGCAAGAATAAATCGAGCATTATCGGAATTCTAAGGTTTGCTCTCTATAAATCATAGTGAATCTGACATATCGAGTTGTGGAGCAGTTTGCGATTTTCGAAAAGGTGCAAGACTTACATTCCAACCTAAGGTGAATTCAAAAGCATCGGAGTCACCTTGTTCCTGTCGCTACAGCTTTGTAATGTCAATCGACCGATATCTCTATGTTTACGGTCCGTTCATAAAATGGAAGGAGTTGTGAATGGTCCAGTTCCTGATGGGTTCATGGCAGACTCTCAAAATCGTCTCAAATCGTTTCGCTTTGACGAAAAAAATAATGAGCTGTATGTATTGGGTAAGTATCAATATTCTCTTTACTAATCTCACCAAAGCTGTGCATAGACCAGTTACTTCTGCCGCATAAGACTGAATTTGTCCCAGTGAAAAACACGGAGGATGCTTTTGCAGTCATCCGAAGCATGCAGGTGAAGTGGTTGTACGAGGTAATTCTTCTTCTGGCAAGAGAAATCCACAAGTTTAGGTTCGCGGAGCGCCACTGATTGCTGTGGTAGGCGCACTGGGCCTACTGGTGGATCTGTCCAGTCGAGAGTTTGCGGACCCTCAGGATTTTGTTGAGTACATTAAGGCTAAGGTCTCCGGATCCTCATTTTATTTACTCAAATGGAATCAAGTTCACTTAGGCGCAATATCTCATTGATTCGCGCCCAACTGCCATAAATCTTCGGAACGCGATGGACCAAATCCTAAAAGCATGTATGGTTGAAGGTGATGAGGAGACCAAGAAACGGAGGTTGAACGCAGTCACCCAACTACCCACAAAAACATACATACCTTTTAGTGTTACCGATACCATCCTAAAGTTTTTGCATGACGAAACTGAGGAGAATCGAAAGCTTGTATGGAACGGTTTTCAAGAGGTACGTGCTTTTCAGTGGCAGCGACCCCCTTCCAGGCGAATCAGTCGCGAAATTTTTGAAGGTTACCTATATGTTATGAACTTGTGAGAGTGACATTTTCTTTTTTTGAAAACTTTCACCAATAATAGCGTCGTAACAAAAACGGCGTGGTCTGCAAACGGATTAGCTTTCGATAAGATAAGCAATTCGGCGATCTCTCATCAGAAGTCTGCAAAGCAATACTTGCAGACTACGATTGCATAGTATCATGCGTACTTCCATGGATTGATGATATCCCTCTGTTGTGTGCGCGAACGTAATGCGCTTACGATGAATTTAGAGTTGTTGAAGTATTGCCAGATTGCATGGTAACTTGAATAAGGTGAAGTGGCACGGGGTGTCTTACACACCAATTTTGAGCTTCTCAGGGTGACAGGGGCAAAAATCAATGAAAGCGACTAAATCAATCAAATTTTTTTAAATTGCTCATTCACATTCGTTATTCATTGGAAAGACAGTAAATCGAAGGGACGATAGGTTTAGCTGATGGTAATCGCGCTCATTATCAACCCCCTCCCCCACATCTTTCAATTCTAACAAGTTCAAAAGAAAGAACTGATAAAAAACAGTCGTAAGTTTCGAAATTTTATAGAGTTTTCCATCATTTCTCTAAACATTCATAAAGCTTCTGTTTATGTTTATAGTAGCAAAATATAGAAGTAGACAACTGACTAGGTCTAAAAAACCTCTAAAATTATCTTCTGAACATGTCTATTTCTGAGGGAAGTTATGAACGAATAATGTGAACGAGGATATCTTTGAAGTGAACTGATATCCAAAACGTTTTTATCATTTTGTAAAAGAGTCAGTATTTTTGGTGCAAGACTCATTGACAAACCCGATACAGCAGTGATCTTATTAGTAAGAAGCATGCTTAGCTTCATTACCTTCGCCCTCATCTCGACTAATGCCCAAAAACCTCTCTTAGCTGCTTTTTCTTCCAGTATGATTCTAACTCTAACGTTGTTCTTAATGACATTCAAACTCAGATAGTTAGCCTCAAACCGGCTGGCTCCAAATTTGTGCTGATGACCATATGCAACACAGGAGCACTTGCTACTTCTTCATGGGGAACAGCCCTCGGTACGTTGACAGAATTGTTCAGGGCCTGTTAGTCATTGTTTTTTTTTTCAGGAGTAATTTTTGCTCTTCACCAAGCAGGCCTTGTTGAAATGGTTTACGCCTTGGAAACACGGCCATACAATCAGGTACAAAGAGCGAGCATAAGTTTTGGCCAAATGTAGGGAGTTCAGAGATACTTTGCAAAGCAACACTAGAATTACTAGTAATAATTGCTTAAATGCAAAGACAAAACGACGGAACCGAAAAAAATCTCAAAGCCAATTCACGTAATCTATTAGTATGGGACCCGCTGAAACACCCTTTTTCATTAATCAAAAATGTTAATCGCGCAATCATATAAAATTTTCATTTCGCCATATCCAAATCGTATATTAGTTATGTAAAATAGTAAGTCCAAATGTCTGCACCATGTAAAAAGTACGATGTCAAAAATTCATTCGTCCGAACAAGTAAAATGAGTTCGTTCAAATATTCGAAATATTCACATATTGGAAGGAGCATTATGATCATTTAACAAATGATCAAATGGATTTTCAAATTTAGGATTTTCAAATGTTCGAATACCCTTTTAGCTTCACTAACAGAGATTTGATGTCGAAAGTTAGGTGACACCCAGGTTGAATCAGGGGCTGATGCTTATTAATACATTTGCATGAAACGCACTTCGCTGTGTGAAATCAGAGCAAAAGGGTTGAGAAGCTCAGTTGCTTTGGTCCAATGTCAAATGATTCGAAAACGGCATGAAGCTCAAAACAGCTACAACGTTTCTAACCTCTAACAGATATGCAGGGAAGGTTCGGAGTGAATATTTTGAGGCGGGCATGTTGCATAACATCTGCTAGGCAAAAGAGTTTCGCGTTTAGAGCGTTTCTGAAAACAATCTATGGAGAAGTGCTTCACTTTCGATGTCTTATCATTACTAACACACATTAAGAAGTTGAAACAAGGGACAATTAAGCAAAAAGGAAAGCATTGCATTTATGTAGTCTTAAGTTTATATGTCAAAAATGTATGGTCCTACTAATGTTCGATACCTCTTTGAATTATACCAGGGCATGCGTCTTACTGCTAGCGAACTTCGCCAGGCTAACATACCCTTCATGGTTATCACTGACAGCATGGCAGCCTGGACTATGAAGACACACAAGATCGACGCTGTGCTTACTGGTAAACCTTTTGTTACTCAAATGATTCTCATGACCAATTATATTCGGTATAGGAGCCGACCAAGTAGCTCTCAACGGAGACACGGCGAATAAGATTGGTACTTACATGCTGGCTGTGCTTGCGAAACATCACAATATTCCATTCTATCCTGTGGTAAGTAGCTTTATTTTCATATGGTGTTAACATGTTGAGACCATAGGTGCGATAGGGGGAGCCGAGCCCTCTCCAGGTAAAGGGGGTCTCTGCTACTCCCATCCTTGTAAGGTGAAGAGGGTAAGTAAGCCCTGAGAGCAAAATGCCCCAACAAGTTACATACCATTCAAAAACTGAGGTCATATAGAATCGATATAGAGACCGTCGGCTTTTTCCTAGGTCTTTTGTGCCGCGAGATATGAGGGATTTTATGTACTTCATGTGTCAACTAATTTTGTGTCCTCACTTTCTGCTCTCCAAAAGAATGCTACGAGAGAGTCGACGGTCTACGTCTGCTAATGAAGACTTGCTCTGTAACGCAGATAGATAACCAGCAGATTAGGTCTTCGTTTGGCAGAAATTTGCTGTTGAAAATGAACATGATTTCAGGTAAAATGCAGTGTATCTCTCGATAAAGGGCGGCTAGAAAGAATTCGACGGTCTACGTCGAGTCCCCTTTTCCTGAGCTTTCGAATGGTATATAGACTGCTGAGCGAAAAAACTTGCCAGTTTTTAAAAATGGTGTGGAGGTATTTATTTACTATTAGCTTGCTCCACCCGCTCCCCCAATGTATTGGCTTTTATCGGTCACCAGAGCAAGTGCTTTTTAGAGCCGCGAAGCAGAAAAGCCCTAACATGCTTCACACCGTTCGAAAGCTGAGATTATGGAGAATCGACGTAGACCGTCTCTTTTTTCGTAGCTTCTCTGTAGAGCGAGATACGAGCGATTTTATACGCCTACTCACCAACTAATTTTGTGTAATTATTTTGTAATTTATTTTTGAAAGAAAGAACAAAGATTAAAAAAAAGAGACGGTCTACGTCTACATTTACTGGCAAGGTCTTGCTCTGTGATGCAGTCAGAAAATCAGGCACCTTTATCCATTCTTCACGCAGAAATTTCTCGACAAAAACACACATCTTTTTGGCTAAAATCCCGTGTAACTCTAAGTAGAGGGGAGCTAGAGAAAAAGACGGTCTACATCAAATTCTTTTTTTGTGGGCTTTTTAATGGTGTACAGGTTGTCGGGTGAAAAAACTTGTGGTTTCTTAAAAATGAGGTGGAGATATTTAATAGTAACTTGCTCCACCCCGCTCCGGCTTTCTATGGGTTGCCGGAGCAAGACTTTTTTGGACTGGGAAAGTTTTGTGCACCAACACCTTATATACCATTCGATAGCTAAGAACGCGAGGAATCGACGTAGACTGTCTCTTTTTTCGTAGCTTCTCTGTGAAGCGAGATACGAGCAGTTTTATCTAGCTACAATATCAGCCAATTTTGGATAATTATATTTTCCAACCAAGAAGGTCTTTTTCGAACTTTTATATATGAATCGAAAGCATGAAAAACGAGTAATCTGACTGTTGTTTTGTTTGTTATTATTCTCTCTAGTGAAAAGAGATATGGTATGATTTTTGGTCAGTAAACATGCATCCATCGCTAGTCGGTTCAGATTTTTCTACTCTTGCTCAACTCTTTTTTGCAAAGTATGTATTCATTGATACAATGTTAATTATTCAAAAAATCACCTTTTACTTTTTGATTACGTTTCGTTATCAACGCCCTTTGAGCGCGCAGAAGGTCTCAAGCATGCGTTTTTTAACGAAACGTTGTTGATTCGATACTCTCTTGCAGTCTTGATGTCTGAGGAGAAGAGCAGCTTGCGTTTCCTTTCCAAACAAAAGTTCCGTTGTAATAGCTGTTTGCCTTGATTAGTCTCAACCTCAGGTGAAAGGGGCCAGCCAGATGCCGGCCCTAAAGTGAAGGGGGTCAGAGAAATTTCTCCACCTATCGCATCTATGGTTGAGACCTTGTAGCACTTGACGTCGTTCAACGCATTATTAGATAGATAAAGCTACAGTCGAGTAGATTTTCCGCTTAATATAGTGTGCTTACACTGAAGGTGAAATGCGGTAACATTTGCGCTTGAACAAGTAGCTGCGCCTGTGACGCCGACCATTTGCGCGCGCAAAAGGCTGGCATTACTGGCGTGGCTACTCGTTCACGCGCAAATTTTACCTCATTTCACCTTCAGTGCAAGTACACTATATTAAGCGGGAAATTTACTCGACCGTAGGGGGTGCGGGAAGTTTCTCACCCGAGCCATACTCTCGCACCTAAGTGATGTGCCTGCCAGGCACATCCGGGCTCGCTATAATTACGAGCTCATCAGAGACCAAGACATCGCAAGCCCCGCCCCCTTATCCGGTGTTGCTGCATATGCTGAAACCGGAATTTCAAAGAAATTTTCAAAAACAAAGTTCAAAAGTGAATTTGCTCCAATCAAGACCAAATTTCGGATTTTGGGGTTTTTGAGGTCCTCTTTTCAGAAGTGAGATTTGTTTGCTGCATAGTCAGCATTCAGCACCGCTAATGCTTGAACAATATCAAAATTCGGATTTAGAGGTTTTCGAGATTTTTTATTTCAAGACAAAACCAAAATTCAAGTTCAAGGGTTTTCGAATTTATGAATGGACTGTTGAAAAAAACATCCGTAGTGGAATGGAATTCAGTCCTGATTGCAAGAGTATGCTTGAATCAAAATAGATTGAAGCAAGTTTCAAGCTGGCACTGGTGTGAAAACTATTTGTATTTGGAATATTAAATTCAATTATAAACAAGATTTCTGTCGTTATGGTTAAAGCGATTACGAGGACCCGTAAATCTCCGAAATCTGATCTTGTTTAAGTATTAGCGGTGCTGAACGCCGAGTATGCAACAAATCTCACTACAGAAAAGAGCAACCTCGAAAACTTCCAAGAGCAAATTCACTTATGAATTTCGTTTTTAAAAGTTCCTTTGAAATTCCGGTTTCAGCATCTGGAGCATTGAATAAAGGGGTGGGGCTTGCGATGTCTTGGTCTCCTGAGGAGTTCGTAATTGTAGCGAGCCCGGATGTGCCTGGCAAGCACATCACTTAGGTGCAAGAATATGGCTTGGGTGACAAACTTCCGCCCCCCTCCCTCCCCCCTCCCCCGACTGTAGGTTCCTTCCCAGCAGTCGTTACCATACGATAAATCCCTACTAGGTGTTATCTTCAGCAAAAAGGGGTCACCAACACATTTGAACGTCCTCACAAAAAACTTTCCTGATTTATTGGAAATCCATTAGAAGCGTTCTTTGCTTTAAAATTTCATCAGTTGGCGCTCCACGGCAAAGGGTCCCATTGGAATTCATTTGGCATGTTTGCTTTTGTAGCATTCGGGGTGTGGCTTGTGCACCTGAAAATAGAGTATCTCGTATCTTAATGCCGTATGGGTGGTTTTCTCTTTTGTAAAAATAGAGGGAAAGTACAAAAGGAAATGCATAACTTCGGGGGGGGGGGTTGAATCCATTTTTTTAGAAATGCGAAGCATAGTAGTAATCAAAAATCGGTTGAACAGCAGTCTGCTTCTCTTCTATATCAAACTGTATGTACGCTTATCAATGCAGAGTCGGATGCACCAGAATCTTCCTCCCGCATGGCCGCCTTCCACGCTTAATTAGCAATTGAGGCTCCCCCTTTCCCGCGCCTTTCCCATGCATTCCCACAATGTGACTTTCTTTTCAGGTGCCGGTCACAACAATAAATACGTCAAGAAAATCTGGCGATACTATTCCAATCGAGGAGAGACCTCCTAAAGAGATGCTGTCCGTAAATGGTGAGTACATTGAGGTTTTCAGTCCCGTGCACGCTGTACTGTCTGTTTCATTGGAAGTGGCGGGTGGAAAGTGGGGCTCTGGGCTCTGCTTCTCGCTAGTGTACTCTCTAATCATTTCTCAGGCTTATTAGCGATCGAAGCTTCGCCTTCTAGTCGCAACTCTTAATGATACAGAGGGTAGCATTACTTTTATTTATGTGACTCAATTTAATAGTAGTTTCACAAGAAAAGGACGCTTGATTTAGACGACAATCTTGAAAGTGGTGTTCGGTACTGGATGATTTTGAAACGCTTGTCTTAAATTTGTCCCTTATGGTCATGCTTGTGAAGTTGTTGATCTCAGCTGAGCTCACTAAGGGTTTGGTAAAAGAATGCCTGCGAGACGAAAGCTGATACAAGTACTGGTCGATATATTAGGTTGGCTCGAAAGTTCTTGCGTAATTCAAACAAAATTCAATAACTTTTCAATACCTAAACCTAAATTCACAGTTTTGTTTTCTAAAAAGATTAGAAGGCTTGTGCTCCATGACTGACGTTCAAGCGCAAGATTCCATGAGCTAGACATAACGTAGCTCTCAAATATGGGGCTTCAAAATTTGCGATTTTGAGTTTGGTGCCAGAAAATCGTAGTGTCGCTAGCTAGCCAAAAAAAATCTGTAAAAATTACTTACACAGCAGAAGTCCATACGTTATTTTGGAAGGCTTCGAGCTTGTGCGGTGAAGCAAGAACAAAAAATTCGTAAATTATGTCATTTTGCGGAAAAAATCCCCTCATTACCGCAGTTTTTCGGCAAAAACACTTTTTTACACTTCGCAAGGTTCCAAATAGGCATTATGTCTTATTTCTGGTTGCAAACTGCGTTTTTGTGGAAAAATTACAGCGATAAGGGGTATCCTGTAAAATCACAAATTCCACAAATTTTTTGTTTTCGCATTTCCATGCGAGATCAGAGCCTGCTAAAGTAACGTATGGACTTCTGCTGTGTAAGTAATTCCTACAGATTTTTTTCGGCTAGCTAGTGGCTCTCTGCGATTTTCTGGCACCAAACTCAAAATCGCAAAATTTGAAGCCCTCTATTTGAGAGCTTCGTTCTCGATGCCTAGCCAATGAAATCTTGCGCTTAAACTTCCATCATGAAGCGCAGGCCTTCTAATATTTTTAGAGTACAAGAATGTGGATTTAGGTTCAGGTGTTGAAAAGTTATTGAATTTTGTTTGAATTACGCAAGAACTTTCGAGCCAACCTAATATATTAGGGCATTACATAAGTCTTGTCACACTTTGAGTTTTTACCGCGATAAGTTTTTACCCCCCCCCCCCCCTCCCCCATGAGTAAGTCGCGAAAATTTTAAAATGTACTTACGTGGGTTTTTTATAAATAATTGAAATAAATTTTGGTTTTTTAGAAATTTAAATTAGCATTACAATAATTTTTTTCCCAGAGGGCGTGGCTGCCGGCTAACGACAAAAACATGGAATTCGAAAATCTGGGTGGACGGTGCCTTTAAAGGCACCGTCTACCCAGATTCTCGACTTCTAGGTTTTTGCTGTTGCTGTTGCTTCAACGCATCCAAATTTTTCGAACTCACTGCTTCTGAATGGCTGCAACTTTTTTCTTCGTCCGGGCACTCTAACACAACCTGTTCATTGCAGCCTCAGCCTTTCCCTGGCTTTAGTATAGGGATTTGCAGGATCGCGAGAGTCGGACGTGCGTGCGGCCATTGCGCCGCGCACGTCAGATGTGCGTCCGACGACTCAGGTAGGTGCCAGGCTTATCCTCTTGAACAGATTCATTCGGTTCACCACCTTTGCTGTTGCTAAGTCTGCACCTGCCTTAGTGACATCGGACGTGCGCGGCGCATTAGCCGTACGCACGTCCGACTCTCGCGATTCTGCAGGCCCCTATAGCGAATTTTCGAAGAACCGTGCTTAGGCACGTTTTTGACATTGTTCGAGAAGGCGCTATAATGGTTTTTTTTACTAGATAATCAGTGCAGAATGAGGAAGATAGGTTTTTTATAGCAAACATTCTTGCTTCAAAAATAGCAGTTTCCTCTCTGAAAACATGGTGTTGCGCAAGGGGGTGTATCTCAAGGCTATCATTATAATCTAAGCTTTCTAATTCCAGAAACATAATGAAGGGCTTCCGATACATTCACTAAAACATGAATGGAATGCCTACACTATGAATCGCAGAAGAATTTCTTATCTGTCATCAGGAAATCATCTAGAATTCAATCTTAACGACTGAAGTGACTTGCCTAGGATGCGGTACAGGAGGGACCAAAGGCCTGCCGCCTGTAGTCGTAGAAGACAATTAGGAGCGCAAGCGCCGTGGGGAAGGTTTTGGCGAGATCCAGGAAAATTTGGAGAGGACATCCATTAGAAACAAGCCTTTATAACTCCTCTTGGAATTAACTTTCAAGAATACGAAGGACAGATTTGGAATCAGTTCAAAATGCGCATTTCTCAGTAATACGCCTACCGGATAGATAAATGACTCTGTCTCGCTACTCGAGTTCTATTCTTACCAAAAACTGAGCCTTCAGAATTCAACATTAAATGCTGAAGAATATCAAGTCCAATGTTGTGTGAAGGATTTTAAGTGATTTTTTTAGGGAGTTTTCTGGATTTTAAGTTGAAGGTAGGGAGTGGTAAACACGAAATAATGTTAACTAAGTTGTATGTGATGAACTTTTGCTATTGTGTACAGCTTCGAAACGATTACCGTTATTTCAATGGCGAATCCTATGAAGTCTCTAGTGTCAGAATTTAGGAAAGAATAGGTTTGAAGTTATGAGACAAACTGCACATTGCATCTTGACACAGGCCCCCAAATGTGTTTTTATGACATTTTGATTGCTTTGGTTCATTGACTCAAAAGGCAGACTATTCTTTTGTTGGAAAGAAAAGAACGAATTTTGAATAAATCCGGTTTTTAAAGGCACCCTCCACCCAGAATGGAGGTTGGCGAGATTATGATGGCATACTAGTGTGGGCCTCCATACTAGACAAACCTTCAAGCTTCGCCGCAAAAGACTGCGTCTGGAGCGAGAAATCCGCTCCGGAAGTTGCGAAGTGGGCGGGGCGCCCCCGGTCGCCCCGCCCACTTGCATGCTTTATCTCGCCTGCGCTTGTTGTAGAGGGTTCTCGAAACAGGGATTTTTGGGGGTTTCGCGGATTTTCGACTCCATATTCGGAATCAGGGCTTTCAGAAGGCCTGAAGGCGACAAAAACATTGGATTCGAGATTTTGGGTGGACGGTGCGTTTGAAAATTTGAAACTTCATAATTGTCGAAACAAGAAGTTTCTGTAAGAAAGTTGGCTTTTCTTACCATCACATTCCCAGTTTTCACCTACTTTTAGGCTTAGTGAATGCAAATTCCAGTTGCATTACAAATCTGTTTTTCGAATATTCCAAAGTCATCTACAGGCTAAGTTATAAAGACCTGCTCCTAAAGGATGTCCTTGCCAAGTTTTCCTGGATCCCTGCCAAAATATGCTCCACAGCGCTCGCGCTTTTAATTATCTCCCGCGGATATAGGCGGCAGCCCCTTGGTTCCTCCTGCACCACCCCCACTTCCTATATTCTTCTTACATTCTTTCTTCTTCTTGCTCTTATCCCTCTTTTCTCTTGTAAGTTGTCATTTTATTTCAGTTTTTGTTCATAATTACAGCGTTTAGACAGTTACGGTTTAAACATCGTCATCAGACTAAAGTTGATGCTTTGTCAAGATTATCCATCTTTACGCAAAATACAGTACAGCTGATCTTTATGGAATTCCTACCTACTCAATCTACGCAGATATATTTTGGGGCCTGAGCAATCAAGCATTTTTTGCTACATTTCTCCTCGTCTGACGTATAATTTCTGAGCCAGGTCATCTTTTGACATGATTTGGCATACGTTAATCTGAGGGGGAGTGGGAAGGGGGAAATTTTACGGATGCATGCCTTCGGGGGGTGGGTAGGGGGGAATCGTAAGAGGGTCCCATATTGTGTCAACACGCTTGACTTGCGCTCAAACACAGCTTTCAACCTATCACTTAAAATTCAAGCTTCAACCACATAATCATACTTTAGCAGGGAACATTAGCAGCAAAGTGGTGCAACCACATAGCTTTTTAGCGCATTTGAGGGCACCGTCTATCCGAAATGAGGATGGTGAGTTTCATGCTGTATGATAGCGGACCCCGCCAGCGTAGCGCCGGCGCTGAGCCAGCGTCGAGCTGTCCCGGCGCTGTTTCGCTCGATACACGTGCATTTCGTTCGGGACGGGGCTAGCTGACCTAGTTCTCAGCCAGGTAAATGCACCGACTATTGATTGAAATCTCTGTCAAAAGCTCCGGTAGCTCTTTGCAAGCGCAGGGTCAGCTAGCTCCGCCGCGAATGAAATGCACGTGTGATAAAAACAGCACCGGGGCACCGCCAGCGCCAGCGCTGCGCCGATGGCTCGGCACCGGCGCATCGCTGGCGTGGTTTCGACACTTTGGCGAGAGCCTAAGGTTCGTATGCATAAACATCCTTGCGGTGAGGATAGTGGCGTCACCCTTTGTGAAGGCGAACGCCGCTGCGGCTTTTTCATCATTGAGGACGGGCCTCGCTTCGCCGCAGGGATGCTCATGGATATGGACCTAAGTAACCGTCCAACTCTCCCTGTAAAAGAGGAATTCCCAAGCAAGAAAGGCGCTCAACGAAGTAGGAAGCGGCGGTGGTTGCTCCGCCATTAACGTGGATGGTCTGTACAAGCCCAAAATTGTTCTTAAATGTGTCTAAAACTGACGAAAGTCCGAAATAATATTGAAGGCGGATTTTCGACAATTTTGAACACGTTCAAGGCCGATTTTGGACTTGTAGCAGATTACTCACACTGATGGGCGGAGCGACCGCTGCCGCTTCTGCCTACAAGAGGAGGGGTTTTCCGCTTGGAATCTATTTTTCTGCGCTGGGACTTGGCGATTATTTGGTTTGTTGCTTAGCCATCAAACAGAATTTCCCACTACCCTCATTTTGAGTGGACGGTGCTTTCAAAGTGTTTAAGTCGAGTACAGATACATATCTCAACGATAGGAACTACAAAGTCGAAGATGTTTCACTCCAAATGTGCTTACTCTGGTCAACTGCGTGGATCAAATGTATTTCCACAGTAATCCACAATTTTCTAGGAGTTGCTATCGCCACGCAGGATACACCAGTATGGAATCCAGCTTTTGATATAACACCTGCAACCTTGATTACGAAGATTATTACAGACAGAGGAAACTTCACTCCTGCAGAAATAATGCAAAATTTTTGTTAATTAATATCTACACATCTTAATCAACGTTGTTGTCACAGTGCCTTGTGATACATATATCGTTTGTATTCCTTGACTATTCACGTTTGTTTTTGAGAACTTGTAGTATAAAACTACTTATGTCGGAACAGCCCAGCATTGTAGTAAGCATGAAATCATTCTTTTTATTTCTAGCCAGGAAAAATATAGCCCTGATGTTTTATAATAGTATGATGTGGAATGGATGTATGTCAAGAAGAGCAATTTTTTATTGCCAGATGGAGACCAAATAACACATAATAAGTGACTCAAAACTTTTCAAATACTTTCATGGGTAGTTAAACTTTAATAGGTTGGAGTCAATCCAAAACAGCGATTTTGAAGGTCGAAAATCCATAAGAATGCAAAATCCACAAAGTCTATTGAAGACAAGTTCGTAAATATTTGGGTCCGATTTCCAGCTGTTGGGAAGTGATGTATTATGTGATGTATTTGTATTGTCTTAATTGTTTTCCGCTGTATTTCGATCTCTTGTTCGGTTATTAGTTTGAAACGCAGTTTTCAATGACTTTCCCGCCTGTTCTCATAGAGCTCTCCTAGGTGCCTGGTACCGAGTGATACGCTCTCAGAGGTGTGTTATATATTAGGTCGTTCCGAAAGCAATGTCGCTTTTTTCAAACGTATGCCACATCTCGTGCAACAAAGATGTGTAAGAGATTCTGGTAGCATTTGATGCAGAATTTCATTTTCTTTCTAATGGTTATATAACTACCGCACAAAATTGAATAACCTCTGGGAAAATTATCGGAATCTGCGACCCATGCTTTTTGAGGAGGTCAAGTTTCACAATTTTTCCAACTTTTTTTAACCAACCCCCGGAAGGAGTCCAAGTTATGCATGGATAGAGCAAACCCTACGGGAAACAGCACAACTTTTTTCTGCTTTTCAGAGCTCGTCATAATTTCTGTATAGATTTTTTGATGGAACCACCAAATTTTAGCAGGCTCGTCTCAGACACAAATGTATCAAACACCAAGAAATCGTCGAATTTTGAAACGTGCAAAGATGGATTATGGTTTTGCACTAATTTTACAAAGCAAATGAGCGTTTACCGCTTCAGATTAGCAACTTCCGAAGATTCCGGGTAGAGCCGGAGGCGCCCTGGAAAACCTGAGTTATGATGATTTTATCTCGGAAAACTTGATGAATCGGAAACCAAAAACAACTGGTAAAAAGAGGAGAAAAAGCTACGTCGTATGACACCCGAGTTCGCTTGCCGGTTGTTGTTCTGTGAGGATTTACTTGACTAAATATGGAATTTGATGGCATTGAGAAATTGATTGTAGAAACTCTGAGAAGCAAGCTAAGGAAAAGAAAAAAATTACTCTGTGTCCTATAGGGTTTGCTCTATCTACTGGCTACTTGTGCTTCTTCGTAGAATAGCTACAAAAATTTTTAAAAATTGCCGAACTCGACCATGGCAAAAAGCACGAGTTGCAGATTTTGTTGATTTTTCGAAAGCTCAATGAAAATCATGCAATGAGGTTACGACCATTAGAAAGAGGATGAAATGCTGCATCGAATACTCCTAAGATCTCTTGAACTTGATTCCATGATATGTGGCGTTCATTTGAAAAAAGCGACATTACTTTCGGAACGACCTAATATATAAGTACCTTAGCCATTTGATTCACTCACCATTCTGATCAGCCAATAAACTACTGAATATTCCACTGTGTCCGGTTCGATTCAACAGACAAGGACTACAACAACTGGCGATCAGACGATAGGACTCGCGTAGATAGAATGAAGATTGCTGAATAGAACGAATCGGACAAGGACTTCTTCGTGAAAGGATGGCGACCACTTCGAGCACTACACTGGAGGAAATGTTTGCTCAGCTGATGCAGAACGGTGTACTGATGAGAGCGAACCAGGAGTTTGAAACGCCTGGAACATCCCGCTGCTCCCGCGACGTTGGACCACTCACCACTTTCGGCAAGACTAACGTTCTTCAGCTACTATCCTGGAAACAGATGCACCTTCGAAAACTGGCTATTCAGATTCAAGGAGATATAGTGTGGATCCCGGCCAGCTTCCCATAGGTACCTCCGCGACGCACCCGCAGCGCACGCCTTCAGTGCGGTTCTCCTTCAGGCGGCGCTGAAGGATTTCATGTTTCTCATGTTTATTTGCTTTTCTTGGTCTTTACCTCTCTTTGCAGTTCGAGCAATCCAAGACAATAGCGGGTCATGAGCTTCTACGTGTATTGAAAGTCCTAAGTGTTCTTTTATCAAACGGTTCTTGTTTTTTTTTTCGACAAATTGGGATCTGCATAACTTCTAAAGAATATTTTCCTTGAAATCTCTCAAACAACAGCAATAGATACGGTCTTGCAGGGTATAGATGCTTTTAAGCTAGTGTAGAACCTATGCATGGGCCAGTCGGCCTCGTTCGTATAAATGTTATTCTACTTGCGGTTTTTGAAGCTTTGTTCACAAAAAAGGAATGTTTTGCGAATGAGTTTTGTTATTTTATCTGCTTAACAGTTCTGTCATGATTAGCATGTCATGATCTGTCATCTCGCATTTGCACCCATCGGACCGACTGGAGTTCCATAATTAGTGCAAGTTGTACGCGTTCATTCGCTGCATGTGCTTTTCTCAAATTGGACTTAGACACTTCCACTGTTCATCTCATCTTATTTGTGCTTAGACGTGGTTTACTGCCCTTAAAAGAAATGAGAAGCAGCAATCCGAACGCGCGCTGCGGTTGCGCCGCGGCGGTATTCATGGGAAGCTGGCCGAGGTCCACACTATAGTACCATCAACATCAAAGCCCGAAAAGGGACCGATGCGCTCTGCTGTCTACGAGATTAGAAAACGCCGCTCATGCCAAGCTGAGAGGACACCTTGCAAGATCTCCGCTAGAGCTCTCATTCGAAGAACTAACGAGTGCTCACATCGCTGTCGGCGAAAGGGTTTGTTGACGCTGTTTCGACGCCGATGGAACTGCCTCGACGTCGCGAAAGATCCCTCAGAGGACATCGAATAGTACGCTGCACGGCCAAGACTCTAGTCGATGCCAAAACGGACGAAATGAAAAGGGGAACCACTGAAATGTCTTCTTTTCGTCATGGGATTGCAATCACCATTGTCGCCAATACGTGCCCGACTACTGAGCAAGCTGGACTCCGAGGCCGATACATACAAGCTTCAGGACTTGATCGCCGACTACAACGCATATCAGTCTGTGCAGAAGGATGCTGCCCTCATTGGATCCGTATCGCCTGCGTCTGTCCAAGCTGAAATCGTCGCTCCTGTCCGGAAGAAGAAGCAACGCCGACCACAGCCGCAACGTGCCGGACGTCCATCCGATAGCAAGGACACGCCTGGACGTTCTCGCCGTGATGATGTGTGCTACACATGTGGAAATAAAGGACACTGGGCCAATAGCTGCCCGTCAAGGAATCGACCAGTCCGCCGTTTTCTGAAGAAAGTTGTAAAGCTGAACGTGCTGAACTCCCACCGTCGCTACGTCAACGTCAAGCTGAAGGACTTGAACGTGAGAATGCAACTCGACACCGGTGCCGATGTATCGACAATCAGCCGCAGGACGTGGATGGAACTAAGATCGCCAACCTTGAAGGCCCCGCTTGCGGAATTGAGAGCTGCAATGGATCGCTGATTGAAGTGTTTGGAGTTTACGAGATGTCCTTCACATGCAATGGATTCGATAGCAATGGACTATTTTATGTCACCAAGGACCTGTGTTTGCTGGGAATGGATATGCTTCAACAGTTACCGCCCTTTCAGAATGTTTTCTCTGCCGTTTGCTGTGTCGTAAACGCCTCTTCGCCACTGGACGAACGCCTCGCTGCTGGGTTTCTAGAAGTCTTCAAGGATGAACTGGGACATGTCAACCAATTCAAAGCTCCCCTTGTGCTGAAGAAGGATGCCACGCCTGTCTACGTGCCGAAACGAAAAGTGCCGTTTGCTGCAGAGCCTTTTGTCAACGCAGAGTTAGACCGCCTCTTCACTACTGGAGTACTATCACCAGTCAGCTATCACCACTCATCACTCGCAATAGGTCGCTCCCATTGTTCCAGTGAAGAAGAGGAATGGAGCAGTGCGCATATGTGCTGACTATTCTACCGGACTGAACGAAGCGTTGGAGTTAAACAGACACCCGCTGCCACTGCTGAGGAAGTCTTCACCAAGCTGAATGAACGGTCTTTACGAATATCGATCTGCGTGACGCTTACCTGCAAGTGGAAATGGACGAAGAAAGCAAGGAGTTGCTGACCATCAACATGTCGAGAGGACTTTTCCGCTACAGCCGCCCACCGTTTGGTGTGAAGAGTGCTCCAGGAATCTTCCAATCGCTGATAAGCAATGTCACTGCCGACATCAACGGAGCAATTGCTTACTTGGACGATGTTGTGGTCACCGGAAGGACTCGTGAGGAACACGACGCAAACGTCTTCAAGCTACTCTCCAACACCTTCAAGACTACGGAATGCTTGTTCGCCGTGAAAAGTGCCACTTTGCTAAATCCAGCATTACATTTCTCGGATTCATCGTCGATGCGGAAGAAAGACGCCCTGATCCTGAGAGAATTGCTGCCATCGCCCATATGCCGCCGCTCCAAGATGTGAAGCAGCTCGAATCGTACCTTGGGATGGTTTCGTTCTACTTGTCTTTAGTGCCAAGGATGCGTTCGCTTCGCGGACCATTGGATGCCTCGAAGAGGAAAGACACACCGTTTGTCTGGAGTAAGGAGTGCCAGGAAGCTTTCGACCGCCTTCGCGAAGTCCTGACCTCGGATCTTCTGCTGTGCCACTACGACCCGAAGAAGCCGATCATCGTTGCCGCTGACGCAAGCAACTATGGAATCGGAGCCGCGATCTCTCACCGCTACCCGGATGGATCGGAGAAAACCGTATGCCATGCAAGTCGTGCCCTAACTGCCACAGAGAAGAACTATTCGCAGATTGAGAAGGAGGGATTGGCCCTAGTGTTCGCCGTCAAGAAGTTTCATCGTTACATCTACGGACGAAGATTCACTTTGCTGACGGACCACCGCCCTCTACTCACCATCTTCGGGAGCAAGAAAGGAGTGCCAGCCTACACCGCCAACCGTTTACAACGATGGTCAATGACGCTGCTTGCCTATGATCTTGACATCAAGTACTGCTCCACGACATCGTTTGGA